TTGCGGCGGCGGCTGCCGTCGCCATCATCGTCCTTGCCTCCCTTGCGGCGGCGGCCATTGCCATCATCGTCCTTGCCTCCCTTGCGGCCACGACCACCGTCGTCATCATCACCACCCTTGCGACGAATCCTTTTCTTGTCGTCGTCCTTGCGGCCGCGACTGCCATCATCGTCCTTGCCTCCCTTGCGGCCTCGGCCACCGTCGTCATCATCATCAGCCTTGCGGCGAATCCTTTTCTTGTCGTCGTCCTTGCGGCCGCGGCTGCCATCATCGTCCTTGCCTCCCTTGCGGCCTCGGCCACCGTCGTCATCATCACCACCCTTGCGGCGAATCCTTTTCTTGTCGTCGTCCTTGCGGCCGCGGCTGCCATCATCGTCCTTGCCTCCCTTGCGGCCTCGGCCCTTGTCATCATCTTTGTCGTCCTTCGGGTCGTCCTTGTCATCATCATCATCGTCTTTAGGCATTGGGTAGCCAGGAGGAGGAGAAGGATAAAGGGTCGTGGTCTCAGGCTCGTCGGTGGTGGTCATTTCATCATCTTCTTCAGTGGTGGTGGTGGTGGTGGTGGTGGTGGTGGTGGTGGTGGTGGTGGTGCTGCTGCTGCTGGTGGTGGAGGTGGTAGTAGTGGTGGTAGTAGTGGTGCTGGTGGTGGTGCTCGTTGTGGTCTTGATGGTGGTCTCAGTCGGGTAGCCGCCATCCTGCGTGTGAAGCAACAGGCCAAGATGCAGGAGACAACAGGCTCTACCCCGCATGAGCAAGTTATCAGCTGTAGGGCAACTGGCACAATGCTCTCGGACTGTCTGCGCTTCTCCTTAAGCCTCTAGACTCTATACCTCTGTACAGCCGGGTTTGAAGCGAGCAGCCGGATTGCACTTGTCGCAGTAGTGATCCAAAGCCTCCGCGATGTCTTCCACGCATGCCTGGAGCGAAATCGTGCGAGCTAGGGGCCCCAGTTAATTTCAGGCTTCAAGCTTTGGATAAAAGGGCGTAGTTTAGGGTTTAGGGTTTAGGGCGTAGGGTAAATCCCTTCATGTAGACCCTGTAATATGACACAGGTGCATGATACAGAACAATCAGATTTGGGTTCTTGCCCAGGGAAAACACTACTTAAAGGATCATGGGACTTAGTAAGTAGGGTTATAATTAGGGTAACTATACTTATAACCCCAATTAGGCTACTTATAACCTTACTTACTAAGTCCCATGATCCTCCAAGTAGAAAGCAGGCACGGTGAACAAGAACTCTAAAGCTTCCTGTTGCTGTACTACATGCGTTCCTCACAGCTCCTGACAGGGGATCTCTTCTCGTATATGGGAACTACAATAACTACATTGCGGTCCGACTAATGTATACTGCAGCAAGGGGAAGGAAAGATGTACATGTGTTCCTTGACTATGACAATCCCTAGGCCCTGAACCCACTGCTTTAGAGAACACCGTTTGCCGTTTCCGCAGTTTCGTAGCGCAAAGAACTTGCCTTCGGACCCATAAGGGTTTAGGGTCTAGGGGTTTTCATTTTCAGGTTGCATCAAACTGCGGCACACCTAAACCCCCCCAAATCCCAAAACTTATAAGCCCTATAAGCCCTACATAGATGGCTTGCGGAGGCTGCATCAAACTGGGCAGGTGACCATGCACTTCTCCTTGCATTGTGCATCGACGGGCTTGTGGCCGTCTTCTTGGCCCATCAAGGCCTCGGCTCACAAGAGACGTGTCTGAGTGTTGTTGGGGTTTAGGGGTTTAGGGGTTAGGGTTTAGGGTTTAGGGTTTAGGGTTTGAGCTTATAGGATCTGCGAGCTGCCCTTGGATGCCCTTTGCTCAATCGAAATGCGGCTTTGTGTGGTGCTACTGGTCGATGCCTTACTCTTAAAAGCGCACTATCACAATCTCGCGCAGCAGTCTTTCTTAGTACCTGTCTCTGCGGCTGTGTGGCATTGCAGAAGCCATCGCACACGTCTTCTTCGCTGAGGCACCCCTTCGAAGCATTCACCTCGCAGGGATCGGTTCACATGGTTTCGCATTGGCACATCTGCGGGCTGTCCCACCTTTGCAGTCTCGCATCTCAAGGGCCGCCGACGCACTTGTAGAACACATGAAACGCCGTGAACAGTGACAGAGAACCCTAAAATCCTGAAAACCGAGAAGCGCTTGGAGTACCCTTATGGTGCCATTTCCGGACTGAGCAGTCCACCATTTCGAGGAGGGTTGCGGAGCAATAAGATCGGTCCTCTTCTCGTCGCTCTTCTTTTGGGACAGTGTTCGGGCGAATCCCGAAGCCGAAGCCGAAACGCCAGAAAACCCATACAGAGCTTTAGGGTTGTTTGGGGTTTAGAATAACTCAAACTTCAATCAGCAAGCCCCAAAACCCCAACTCAAAGCTCTACACCGACATGAACCTGAAACCTACAACCCCCAACTCCAAACCCTGACCCTGACCCTTAACCTAAACCCTCTACAGCCCTGAACCCTCCACCAACGCCTGCCTGAGCTAGCGCTAGCTGCCCACCGCCTGGGCAGCTGCAAACTCTGTGACGTGCTGTCCGGGGATAGGGTTTAAGGGTTCCAGATGGGTGATTATGAAGGTGACGTTAAGCGTTCCGAAAAGGGATTTTTGCCAAGATACACAAGGTGTTACGAGCTTGCATGGGCTTGAGGCTTTAGTGCTTAGAGTCTAGATCGAATACTTGATATATATATATATACATATATATATATATATAGGGTGATGGGTTTTTCACACGCACTTTGTCAGACATGTAATGGCCTCTATCGCATGCAAAACAAAGCAAAACAAATCAGCCATATATGACTGACTTCATCATGCGCGAAAGCGGCCATTGGGTCATTCGCATTCGTGCGGGGCCGAGGTGCAGTGCGGGCCGGCTTAATGCGAAAAAGATGCCGTCGGCAGATGATTGACGCAACACCCGCCGCCCAAAACCCCGAAGCTCCCAAACTCAACCCTAAACCTAAACCCTAAACCCTAAACCCTGGAGCCCTGAACGCCCCAACCTTCAAGCCTAAACCCCAAACCCGAAACCTCGCAGGGCCAGCCTGATCGGGGCTTTTGCAACAAGCCGGTGGCCTCGGACTCCTGCATCGTCACAATTACCACCACTACCACCCCTGCCTGCTCCTCCTCGTACTACTACTACTATTACTACTACTACTACTACTACTACTACTACTACTACTACTACTACTACTACTCTCCTCCTCCTCCTCCTGCTGCTGCTGCTGCTGCCGCCACCACCACCACCACCGCCGCCGCCAACACCACCACCGCCGCCGCCGCCACCACCACCACCACCACCAATGTTTTTTGAGGGCACGCTGGCTTCTGCGCTGTGTCGGGAGCAGTTGGGGTTCGTTGGGTTCCTTGCGGGGTACTAACCAGAAGGGAGGTACAGGGGGGATGGACGCAATTTTTTTACCTGCCCAGTGGCCTTGGGTTTACACCTAACCTTTTGGTTTATGTAGGGGCTGCAGTATCTCATCAAGGTCAACGGACCCGATCTCCAAGTGAGCTCAACAGCCTCTCCATACCGCATGCCCAAGCCCTAGCTCCACAGCCCGATAAGCCGTAAAAACTCGATCAACCTGAAACCGAAAATTCAAAACTCTATAATTACCATAAATCCTAAACTCTGTAGACCCTGAACTGCAGCCCTAGAGCCTATCCACCCCAAGGCGATTCCCGTCCTGAAGGAAGCAAATGTCCCTGGAACCTCAAGAGCACTTCGCTGAGTCACAAGCGTGCAGCCCCTAAACCGTGTCGGGTTGGGTGTAGGGTGATTTGAAAGGGGCTTCCGGATTTTGGGGTTGTGTTGGGTTTGGGCTTCGGATTCAGGTTGTGTTATATGGTTTTCCAGAAGGAATACAGCTCATCAGAGTTGAATCCGAAAAGGGTCAACCTTTGTACTTAGTCTTCTCTGTAAGTGACTTTTCTTACCAGGATTTTGTGCCGACAAGTACCACCACCCGACATACTTCGAAACACCGAGCCTGCCCCCCGGGCTAGGACTTCGGGGCTTCGGGTAAAAGGTAACTGTGCAGGCCAGCAGAGGCTTCACGGGATTCAGCAGAAAGAGAAGCACTTAGCTCTGAAATGATAGGGGCCTTCATACGTAGCGTCGTAGAGCTATGGCTTTGACTGCGAATGATATCCTGAACCCGAAGCCGCGATATATACTGTAGTTCTAGTATGAGTGAAACCAAAGGTTCAGCCCCCTTCACTGGGAGTGCAGTGGGTGAAAACTCTGCAGCCTTCATAAGTCCCGAAACTTGGGACGCGTCTCCTCTCGCACACTCAGCTGCTTGCCCCGAACCCCCGAAACCCGTACCCTACCCCACCGAGACTTACTTTTGCAGGACATATAAGAGGGTTTCGATGAGGGGTTAGGATTTAGGGCTGGGAGGAATATGATTTTGGGATTCAGACTGCAGCTTCTGAGTTTCGAGTTCAGGAGTGCCCCGTGCAGGTAGTCTAAGTCTCAGTCGGGTTACGGTTCACTGTAGTGCCAATAGCACTAGAGCCCCAATTGCGACAGCTGCCTAACAAAGGGGCCTTAATGATTAGAATAAGGTTTTGGGGTATATTATACCATACTTATGATAAGGAGCCCAAAAATAATATAGGTTTTTATTAAGGCCACTATATTAAAACGTATCTTCCTTCTCAACCCCTCTTGATTGTCCGGAGCCCAAACTT